TAAAGTTTATAAGTTTGAAATACGCATAAAAAAATACTCGATCAATGGACTGCACAATAATGCTAGACGAATTGCACATTATTGTATGTCGGATTGCACTTTTCAGATTTCGATATTTTTTATATTATTTTTTTCAACCATAAATATTATAACATATTAAACATAAATATTAAAGTATTAATATATTTTATAATATACATAATAAATTATTTTGATTATTTGACGTAATCCGATTAATCGGTCGAAAAAATCGATTATTTCAGTTCGATGTTAGTTTGGTTTGTGACAAGTCATTCAAGATAACTGTGTTGGTTGTGCACGATATTGTTAGACGAATTGCACATTAGTGACTATCTCGTTGCACATTATGGACAGAAAGAGACCGAACTAAACTTTCGATTCGATAATTTCTTCTTACATTTAGACTATCACTTATATAAGTTCAATGTTGGTTTTATTCTTTAAATAATCGAAATGAGCAAACTAACCAAATTATAAGAAAACAATAAATTTTTTATATATATATTATTATGTACTTCGAGTGTACAATAGTGTTAGAGAAATTCCACATTAAAGACTAACAAATTGCACAATAGCGACCAATAGAGACTAAACTAAAATTTTCAGTTCCGAATTTTATGTTTCAGTTCAATTATCTAATTTTTATTTTTAAAATATCAATTATTTCGTATCGATATCGGTTTTATTTCTTAAAATAACCGAATTAACCAAATAGGCCGAACTATATAAAAATTATTATTATTATTATTATTATTATTATTATTATTATTATTATTATAATTATTATTATTATTATTATTATTATTTAATTTTTCGTGTAAAAGAATAATATTTACTCTTAATCAGAAATGTATAAAATAAAAAAATATTAAATAATAAATAAAAAACATTGAAACATTAATTATATTTTAATTATTTACAAATTTGGCACAAGTACTAAAATTGAAATATATTGAAATTTACAAACTTGCAATTGAGCCCCTATAGCTTATCAAATTTTCAACACATAGGCCCCCTTATTTTTCCTCCCCCAACCACCGCACACCTCTGTAATTTCAACCCATGCCAGCTCTGACTCTTGTTCGACGAAGGCTCGACACAGAGATCCGTGATTGGCTCGGGCAGGAGCCACAAGGCCACATCGAATTCTGCATAGGAGGGGGAGCTGTTGTCGGCGGTGGCTGGATTATCTGTTGGTGGCTCAATCGGACTCCTGCGTCGCCGGAGGGTATGGCTGCAGCTGTGACGGGCGGCGGAGCCGGTGGCACTGCCGCCTGTGGGCGACGAAGTTGGTGGTTGTATGCCGGAGCCGGTTGAAGGAAGCCGCTGGTGGTGGGCCTACACAGACGACGGGCCGTTTCTGCTGGAGCCTTGAAAAGGGATGAGTGACGGGGTAGGTGTAGAGATTTAGTTAATTGGCATGTGGTGGGTCCCACATGTTTTGTGTTTTTGTCAAATGTCTATAATAACCTTAATTAGTGGTAAAATCTATATATTTGACCATCATATATCTACTTATTTACCATATCGCCATTAATAATTGACTATTATTTATTAAAGGTTGACTTGATTATGATCATTGGTATGATGTATCCAATGGTCCATATTCATTTTTATTTCTTTCACTATCTATCATTCTCATCTCATCTCTCTCTCTCTCTATATATATATATATAGGGTCGCGCTCACATGAGAATGATGCTTAATGAAGGAAATGAGAATGAATTACAGCCATTAGATCGGATAATCTAACAATTGATAAAAAGGCTAGACTTATACCTTCATTAAGGGTATTTCGGACATTTTAATATATTTCTAGTGGACCCCATACCCACCAACACGTATTTACTCACCCAACTCACACACACATTTACCACAGCGGCCCCACCCCTCTCTCACTCACCCCCTCTCAACCCTCTATTCTCTCACACACATACACACACAGACACACACATACACACACAAAAACAACGGCGACACAGATCCGCCGATTACTAGTCACTGGCGCCCGCCATGCGCCGCCAGTCGTCTGCCGTCGCCGCCAGAGACCTCCACACAGTCAACCACCGTCATCCTCAGCCGCCACCGCCCTCCTCAACCGCTGAGAAGCGCCGATTCTCGCCGGCGCACTTCACCGCCGCCTCGACTATCGCCGTCATCGGATCTGACAGATGGCCTAGGCGCCACCGCACGCCACCAGGTACGTCACCGACATCATTCTCCACCGCCAAACTCTGACTCACCGGCAATCGGCCGTCGTCGTCCTCGTCATACTTACTCCACCTCATTTGAAAATCGACCTTCAACGGTGCCGGAATAAATCGATTGAGGTGCAACGGTGCCGGAAAAAATCGACCTTCAAGCTCGAAGGTCGAGCTTCAATGGCGGAATTAAAAAAAAAAGGCTAAAAGTCGCAGGAAAAACGACCTTCAAGCTGAAACTCGTCGATCCATGGGCTGCATGAGGATGGGGGAGAATCTCGCTGGTAGCGACAGAGGGCAGGAAGTCGAGAGCCGATTGACGTAAATAAGGCGACGAAAATTGGAATTTGTATCCTGGGGCATCATTTGAAAATTTGATATGTTCTAATGACTTAATTGCAAATTTCAAAAATTTTAATATATTGCAATTTAGTTCCTGGGTCAATTTGTAATTTACAAAAAAATAAATAAAGTGTATTATTTTGTATATATTTTTTATGCATATATATATTATATAAATGGAGTTTTCATCCAAAAATTATATAAGGATATTAAAAAAATATTAAAAAACTAAATATATTTTTATATTATAAATTGTAAATTAGTACAATTATTTAGATCAATTCGATTAACCAACCAAATAACTCAATCATATGAAAAATCACAATGCATAATGCGCAATAATATCATAATTATGCACATTAGTGAATACCACACTGCACAACAGTGTTGAACCAAATGCACGTTAACTCATCGAGAATGCACATTATAATACCGGTATAAGTGTATATCGCACGATAACATCACGTGACGAACAAAAGGGAAAAAAAAATGATATGACATTGTGGGTTTTCAAATACATAAAAATGCTAGTTATTCTTGGTCTGGTTTCGACTTTATGTACAGAGAAATTAAATAAATAATGTGAAATAATGTTTAAAAGTTTTAATATGTAAAATTATAATATATAAAAATAATAAAATAATAAATATAATTTTATAATAATGAATAATAATTTATTTAAATTATTTAGGTTGTTTCGATGTACAATTATATCTACTAATTGTAGATTTCAAAAACACATAATTTATACGTGATCATATAAATTAGTGCACTCTATATATCATCAACTTGCACTTTATAAAACAACACGTTGCACTTTATAAAACAACACGTTGCACTTTATCGTCACGCTCTACAATTAAAGTGAAACATGTTCCGCCAAAATACCATACAATATAAATCCAAAAAATGGATATACACAATACTTTAATATCAATCAAATCGTTTATCCACACAAAACACGACCATGTCAACGACCAAAATTACAGTAATTCACTTTACACACTAGTATGTTGCACTTTATAAAACAACGCGTTGCACTTTACAAAACAACACGTTGCACTTTAAAACGCTATCAAATTGCACAACAAGAATCGAAATCGGCCGAACTCAAAATTCTATCAACCTAAAATAATGTAAAAATAATAAATAAAATTATTAATATATTAAATATAATTTTGATATAAATAACAAAATTATTTCAATTTTATTGGGATAATTCGGTTAACCGAACTGAATAACCTAATTGGTTATGTTAATTTTCAAATTGATGTTAGGACAAATGTCCGGATGGTTCAATCTACACAATACAGACCGACACTGTGCACCATATTGTTGGACGAATTGCACCGTCATAACTGTTATATTGCACTCTATAATTCGTCTACATATATACTAATTTTGTAATCAAACATTAATATAAAATATCAATTAAAAAATATAAAATAATAATACTAAAATTTATGAAATTTTAGATTTAAAAACCATAACAATAAAATTGTGCGTTTCCAGATGTTCAATTTTTTGTTATTTCGGTCAGTTTTGGCTTTAATAATAATAATAATAATAATAATAATAATAATAATAATAATAATAATAATAATAACACAACCGACCAAACGAAATAAAAATTTTATATTTATATTTTACCTATATATATTATTTATTTCGAGCAACTAATAATATAAAATGAAAAACTCTAAACACTAAATATATTGTTATAAAAAGTATTTGCACTTCGAATGCACGTTAGTGTTAAACGGATTGCACATTATTGATTATCATATTGTACTATATCAACTAAAATAAATATGTTTGTTCGAATTTTATATTTTGATTCTTTTATCCCGTTTATTTTAAAATTAGATTATTTTCATTCGATATCGGCTTTAATTTTTTTAAATAACTGAAACGACCAAATTAAATAACAAATATTATTTTATTTTATATATATATATATATATATATATTTTTCTAGGTATTTTTCAACCATAAACAATATAAAATATGAAATATAAGTATTAAAACACTAAAATATATTTTTTATAATATAAACGATAAAGTATTCAGTTATTCTGGTTAACTGAAAAATTAACTAAAATAATTGGCTAATGGATCAAATAAACTAAATATTTTGATTTCTTTTGTTTGTTTTGTAACAAATCATTAAAAAAATGCTTGTTGTGCGGGTGCACAATATTGCTAAACAAATTGCACATTAATGACAATCGGAATGCACATTATTGGTATTTTTAATGTGCACTTTATCACATATTTATGTGCAATTTATGTAACATTATAATGCATTAATTAAACTTTTAGTATATTACAGATTTGCCTCAAGTGTTCAATTGAAATAAATTAAAACTCAAAAATTACAATTGAGCCCATATAATATTTCCACTAATTAACCGCACAATTCCAAATCAAATCCACCTACCGTCCACCTCCATCCACCCACCGTCCACCTCCAGCCACCCGTCCAGACGCCTCCGATATGGTCACCCGCCGCGTCTTCTTATCCCACCACCCAACGCCGCCACCTCCCGCCGGTAGCAGCCCGATAACTTCATCACAAAGAAAAAAGAAAAAGAACAGGAAAAGTAAGCCTGCTCGCCGCCTCGTCTCAGCCGTCTCGACGCCTAATCTCCGTCAGCAAGCACGTATCTTCGTCTCCGTCCGTCAGCGAATCGGACGGCGGAAAAGAGGGCGTGCGACGGCGGAGGGTGAAATTTGTGGCGAGGCAGGTCTGTGGGCGGACGGAGGGTGAACTTTGTGGCGGACGTCCGCCACCTCTGTTGATTGTTGATTGTTCAGTGACGACGGAGTAGGCAATTTTTTACGGTGGCGGGGCTGTTGGCGAAGGAGCTGCCGGGGCAGGTTGCAGATGGGGCGGAGATGTTGGTTGTGATGGTTTGTGGTTCCGGCAACGGCGGTCTTGTACGATTTCGGGTTGTGGCGGGAAGTGCGCTGATGGATGGCGGCGGACGGTGGTTCGGCGGCGGCGGCAGGTGTGTGTGTGTGTGTGTGCGCAGAACCGATTTGTGGTGGAGGTAGATGAAAAGAAATATTTGATATTTAATTGGTGAGTGGGTCCCACATAATAAATGAGTATTGACCAACTTACCCTTAATTATTGATCAAATACATATATTTGACCACAATATGATCAAATAGTTACTAATTTGCCATTAATGATTGACCTAGTTTGACTTCATCATAACCATTGATATGCTTGATCCCATGGTCTAGACTTATTATCATTTCTCTCATTAAGAGTCATTCTCATATGATCCTTTCTCTCTCTATATATATATAGGGTCGTGCTCCAGCAAGAATGGTGCTTAGTGAAAGAAATAAGAATAAATCTTAGTCATCGGATCGGTAGATCCAACAACTGAAAAAATTCTTATATTTTAAACTCATTAAGTGAAATGTGGTATTTTTAACCCAATAAACTCGTAGGGCCCACCTCACCCTAATCAATTAAAACCTACCCACTCATTCTCTCTCCCACACACCACACATACTGCACACACACACATGGGTCTCAAACTTCTCTCTCTCACACTTAACACATTTATCCTGCACACAAACACACATTACACACAGGTATACATACACAGATACACACAGGAAGAAATTGAGAAACACACACACGCACGTCGTTTTACCGCCATTGCCGGCCGCCACCCGCCACCGTGACCCACCGTCACCTTCCTCTCCGCGAATAGAGGCACGTCCGACGCCAGGAACTGCTACCCCGTCAACCTCCACCTCCGCCTTATTCAGTCCTCTGGCCGCCGCCACGGTTACTCCTTACCCGATCTCCACCACCGACCTCGAGAAGCTCCAGGTCATCGGCCACAGCAACGGCGACACAATCTTCAAGGCTCGATAGTGCTGCAGCTCCTCCGCCTCATTCACTCCTCCACCCGCCGCCACGATTCCAACTCCTTACACGATTTCCGTCGCTGACCTCGAGATGCTCCAGATCCCTGGCCACGGAAAACGGCGATACAGTCTTCAAGGTTCGACAAAGCCGCTCCTCCGCCCTAAAATTCGTCCAAGCGGCGCCGACACCGCCAGTCTCCAATTTCGTCCTCCGCCACAGCAACTCCCTCAACGACTCTGTGAATAGAGACGAGTCCTCCTTGACAGAAACATAGTACAGACCACCATAGTATATGACGTCGAGAAGAAGCAGGCGGCAAGGACTTCAACCGACGGGGCTTGGGGATTTCAGATTGAGAATTAGATAATTGTAAGGGATCTATTTGTAATTGTCAACAGTTTGATTATATTGTAGGTTAGTCCTTGCGTCAAATATATAATTTATAAAAGGTTACATTATTGAACCTTTTTGTAATTTTAAAATTTTTGATTATATTTCAATTTAAACCTTGGGCTAAATATATAATTTTTAAAGATTTATAAAGATATGCTATGCTATACGTTTTTCACTAAAATAATAAATAAAAACAGTAAATAAAAAATGACATAAAATATTAAGTTATTATAAAAATAATAATAATGAATTATTAAATAATGTTCTTATAATAAAATTAATACATTATTCCAATTTCATAGGTTAATTTGATTAACAATAGAATAAAATAATTATTTTCGTTTAGTTTTAGTTTATTTTTGCACAAAAAAGAAAAAAGAAGTTCCACATTGCATAAAGCACATTATTATTAAATAAGTTGCACCTTAGTGACTAACGGAGTGCACGATAGTGTTATATTTAATGCACATTAACACTATTGAGAATGCACATAAAGAGAAATATCACAAATGTTAGATTGCATAATAACGATATACGGAACGCACATTAATGTTTGAACGGATCCACATTATTGCTTTCGTTATTTTACTATTACGTACTTTCAACTATTGCACTTTATATATCGATACGTTGCACTTTAAACAAGAATATGTTGCACTTTTTAACATATCATGTTGCACCTTATAATACAACAATAATATGTCATACCAAAAAATACAGTAATTATGATAACCGATTGAATAATAATAGTTGGTTAAATGTCGGATTTAGTTTTTTAGAATATACAGAATAACCGAACATGTCGAACTATATGAAAAAATGTTAGCGATTATATATATATATATATATATATATATATATNACACAAAGTCACGTACACACAAAGATTTCAATCGATGCTCACCTTCAGTCCTCCATATCCGCCGCCGCCTTCCTCCAGATCTGCCATTCCCGCCGCCATCGTCGCCGCCGTCTTCCTCTAGATCCTCCATTCCCGCCGCCATCTTCCTCTAGATCCTCCATTCCCGCCGCCATCTTCGTACTCATCGTTCCAGACCGCCGTCAGAGCATAGTCGCCCCCGCCAGTGACCTCCGCCCAGAATATCTCTCCGGTGGCGATCGGCTGTGCTTTGTCGCACGTCGCCGGCGCCATCTCCGTCGACCGCGGCGTTCCCCGTCGCCCGCGTCTCCCCTATCGCCTTCACCGTCCTCCGTCGATCGCGCCGTCATCCGTCGCCCGCGACTCACCACCTCCTCGACTCTCGCCGGTGTCATGTCTGTCCGACGGCCTAGGCGCCGCCGCACTGTGGAGCTTCAATGGCGTCCTCAAAAAAAAAAAAGAAAAAGCTTAAACTTGCCGGGTGTCGCCGGACGGAATATGCATCGACGCCGGAAGTCTCTGGCCGGAGTGGCTGCTGGAGCAGACTGGTAGTATGGTAGAAGATGACATTTTGGGATTAGGGCCTTTTTTTTTAGAATTAGATAAGGTTAAAGGATTTGATTGCAATTTAATGAATTTTTGTTATATTTCAATTTGATACATGTGGCAAATCTGTAATTTACTGAAAGTTTAATAAATGCATATTAATTGCCAAAAAAATGCACAACATATTGTATCATATTAAATATAAATGTCATGTGATAGCACAATAGTTTTATATGAAATGCACATTAATGATCGACATATTGCACCGTATCGAACAAAATAGACCAAACTAAAATATATATAAAAAAAATAAATTAAATTATTAACATATTAAATATAATATTAATATAGATAAAAAAAAATATTTCAATTATTTAAGATAATTCAATTAACCGAACCGAAAAATCAATTAATTATGTTCATTTCTAATTTGTTTTAAGGAAAAAAAAAATGTTTGGTTCAATATGCACGACACAATGCACCATAGTGTTGAAGAAATTGCACCTTAATAACTGTTAGATTGCACATAATATTTCATTTACATACATGTTAATTTTTTTAATCAAAAAACAATATAAAATATCAAATAAAAACGTATTAATTATTAATCACGTTTTTTTATAATAAATTATATAATTTATGTCGAAATTTTTGGTTATTTATGTTAACCAATGAATTAATCCGGTTATGTCGAAATTTTCAGTTTGAAAATTTATAGTAATTAAAATAATATAAAAATATATATTTACTTATATAAATAATTTGATAAGTGAAAATTTATGTTAATTGAAATACAAGTAATAAATTTCTACCATTGAAGTGTACATAAAAAATACACAAACAATAGAGTGCACAACAGTTCTATACAAAATGCACATTATAATTTGTTGGAATGCACACTATTGATTTTGTTATTTTATATATTATGACTTTTTCAACTAAAAAAGTAAAATTTATTAAATATAAATTAGAATATCAAATATATTTTTCATAATATAAATAGTAAATCATTTTGTTTAATTAGGTAATTCGGTTAATCGATTAAATAAATTGCTTATTTGGTTCGATTTTAATTTGGTTTGGAACAAATGATTAAAAATATCTAAAATTCGAGTTCACAATAGCGTTAGACAAATTGCACATTATTGACTAAAAGATTGCACAATATGGAACGATTCGACCGAACTAAACCGTTTGATTCGATATTTTATATTTCGATTCGATTACTTGTTTTTATTTTAAAAAATATGATTATTTATTATTGATGCCGGCTTTGCTTACTTTTTCAAATTAACATAAATAACCGAATCAATTGAACTATATAAAATTATTATTATTATTATTATTATTATTATTATTATTATTATTATTATTGTTATTATTATTATTATTATTATTATTATTATTATTATTATTATTATTGTTGTTGTTATTGTTATTATTATTAGTTTTTTTTAATGTACCGGGGGTGCACAATATTGTTATACGGTTTGCACAATAATGTTATACGACTTGCACATTAACGACTATCAGGTTGCACATTAGTAACCGAAATCGAAAAACCAAAAATCCCAAAAAAATAATATATATTGTTATTTATTTTTAGCCAAACAAAATATATAAAGTAAACATAATTTTTAGTTTTATTTTTTATATTTCGGTTCGATTTATTTCTATTTGGAACAAAAGTTCAATCACCTATTAATATTATGCAATTTACTTATTAATATTGTGCACTTTCAAATTTTTAATAAATTATAAATTCAAACCAAATTAAATTGGCATATAAATAATTTTTACTAATTTACATATAAGCCCTTAGGAATTATCCAATTCTCAATTATTCAAGCCCAAATCTCATCTAAATTACAAATGCCCCAAATCAGCACACACAACATAAATCTCGACACCTTCTTCTAATCGTCCGTCAGCCCCGCCACCGAACACCATGCAGGTTCTCGCCGCCGCCTCGACTGACCAGAATCCGACACCAGATCCGGCTGCGACCGCACCTGTCCCGTCGACATATTGAACCGCCGGCCTCCGGCTCTGTACCGATCAATTTTCCATTGGAATTCAGTTTCCTCCGTTGCCCCGTCTGGAGTCTCGATAGATTACCGATTTCATACGGGATTCTAGAGTCGTACCTTGTGACATACAGTGACAGCGGCGGAGATAGGGTGGGAGACGGTGGAGGTCAGCAATGGCGAGATCTATGTTGAACCTCCAGCGAGTATATGGTGGCGGTGGTGGGGATGGCGATGGATGGCGGTGGCGGAAAACTATGGTGACGGTACTGTTGAGTCGGCGGGGCAGTTGGCGGTCGGCGGAGGTAGGCGGAAGATGACTATTGAACGATGTGGCTGTTCCCGGCGGCGGTCAGTGATGTCGAGGGTCGAGTCGGCTGCTGTTGCGGCAGCGAGTGTGGCGGCGAGGCGGCGGTCCGGCACAAGAACAGTGGGTGTGTGTCGTGTTATGTGTGTGTGTGTGTGTGTGTGTGCGTGCGTGTGGAAGAGAATTAGGGTGGGGAAGGGGTAGGTGGGGTGGGCCGTGCAGTGTAATTATATTGGTATTAATGATGTGAGTGGTGGGTCCCACAAAGGTGTTGAATTTGAATTAAATGTCTAAACTACCCTTAATCATTGGTCAAATGCACATTTAACCACACTATGATCAAGTAAATTGCCATTAATGATTGACCATAATTTGACTTTATCCTAACCATTGATACGATTGATCTCATGGTCTAGGTTTATTCTCATTTCTTTCACTATCTACCATTTTCATGTGATCCTAACTCTATATATATATTATTAAAAAATAACATTAATTTTTTTTATCTATATTTTTTATGTGTTGTGATTGCACATTATGACTATACGTATTGCACATAACTGTCTACCGGATTGCACAAAATCGACCGAGATCCAACGAATAGAAAATAAATAAAAAAAAAATTTAAAATATTAATTAAGATTTGTTAATTACAAAAGGGAAGCTGGGGGAAAGACGAATGTAATGTAAAAGAGGAAATAAGAAAGATAGGAGTTGGACGGTGAAACTGAAATCTTGCTACTTTTTCATTCTCTTCATCAGAAAATCATTCTCGGTGGGAACCGGAGCTTTTAGAGGTAGGAAGTCATCACACCAACATTGCACCCATGACCGAAATTGAAATATATTAAAAATACTGAAATTGCAAATATGCCCCTAAATGTCATCAAATTTTCAAACACAAGTCCTCCCAAATCAAATACACTCCCGTCACCATCTCCAATCGCCGGTCAAATTCACGGCGCGACGCCGTTGCCATGGCTCTGAGCTTGTAAACTCGCCGCCGCGTCAGAGCAACAACGCCCGCTCCCGACTCTGCTGTCATCTCCTCCGTCGGCAGATGAAGACGACGGCAGCTTATGAACCGACTTTGGAAGGCGGCACCGGCCGGTTATCCGATGGCGGCGGCGGGAGGTGCGTGGTTGTTGTGCGGCAGCGGCAAACTCCGTGTTCGACAGTGGACGGGTGGAGCTCCCGTTGGCCTCTTCTACGGTGGTCGACGGTGGAGATGAGTTCTCCAGTGGTGGCCGTTGTCGTCGACGTTGATGTGGCCGCCGAGAGGGAGAGGAAATGAGAGAGTAGATCTGGTAGCGATGGAGGAGGAGAGATAAGGTGGAAAGAGAAGGTGAATTGGGTTTGATGATGTCGGCCCCACTTAGTTGGATGGTGTATATAAAATTATACATTTATCCTTATATGTTTTAATTTGACCAAGAAAGATCAAGTTATTTACCCTATTACCATTAATGATTGACTAGATTTGACTTAATTATGTCCATTGATCGTACCGATCCAATGGTCTATAATCATTCTTATTTCTTTCACTATCTACCATTCTCACATGATCCTAACTCTATATATATATATATATATATGTTGATGTATAATTAGTGCCACATTAATTTTTAAATATGTGTAATTATAATATTTATTAAATTTTATGTCTTTATTTTTTCTAGGATACTTTCTACATTATTATTGATTGCATATTTTGTATTATATTTATTGATAAGAAGTTTTCAAAAACCAAAAAGTGATAAAAAAAAGTGTCATTGGACTTGAAATTAAGTATAGTTAAATTAATTGGTTTATATACATGGTACATTGGTATAGGGCTGTCATCGAACCGAACCAAACCGAGCTTAAGGTGTTCGAGTTCGAGTTTGATTAATTTTTGAACATGTTCGTGTTCGTTCAATTAGTAAACGAACAAAAAATTTTGTTCGTGTTCGTTCGTTTATTGGTTCGACATGTTCGTGTTCGTTTATCTAGTCGAACATGTTCGTGAACTGTTCGAATTGTTCGACAAGTTTGTGTTCGAGTTGTTCGACATGTTTGTGTTCGTGTTTTTTAACTTTTTTTTTTAATTTTAATGTCATACAAGTTATTTTATTTATTATTTAATATCTATTCATATTTATATGTACATACTATATATAATATATAAAATTATTAAATATTTGTGTTTTATTTAATATTTAATATATATTCATATTTATATATTATATTATACATATATATAATATATATAATATATAAAATTATAAAATATTTTTTTTTGTTCGCGAACGCTCGATTAGTTCGCGCACATGTTCGTGTTCGTTCGATAACTAAACGAGCGTAATTTTATGTTCGTGTTCGGTTCGAATGTTAAACAAACGAGCTGTTATCGAACACAAATGAACTCGAACGAGCTTTGTTCGCGAACGTTCGGATCGAAAAACAGCCCTACATTGGTACGACTTTTTCCATGTATTTCATCGTGATTCCATAATCATTTTTATTTTTTAGTTTTTTGGGTGAAAATCAATAATCAAATTTTCACGGATAGCATAAGAATGCCTTCAGTAAGTATATGTTCTCTATATGCAAGACTGAAGTGTTAGTTGATTTTTTAATTTATAGTTATATATAATCTCTAGATGATATATTTATTGTACATTTGATGATTAAGGTTAACAAACTCATGGTATTCAGGAAATAGATGTAAGTATTGTAATGATGTAAATTGTTTGTTTTTCAATCCATGTATTAGAGTGTCCTGTCATTAATATTGTTGTGATATGGTTCTTAGACAACACTTTTGGTTGATAATTATCAATCAGTAAGTTAAAAAAAAATAAAAATTATAAAGTGTGGTTTTGTAATTGAAAATGGAGGGAAAAGTTTTGCTATTGCATTAAAAACTTTGCTTGAAATTATATGTATATAGATTAGTTTGGTTCATTTTGTTGAATGTCCACCAGTGTCTCAACGCCAAGCATATACGATCTTACTTGAACATGATCTGTTCTATAGGCTCGTACCTCTTTATCCTTGCGATCTCAAGGCCAAGTATATTAATTGCCAGTGTCACCTATTTATCATCTAATGCTAGGTCACTTGAGAGAATTATCAAGTAATAGGAAAAAAAAAAACCCCAACAATAACAGAGCCAGTTATACCGGTCATCAGCCAGTATGTAGGTACCTTTTATCTTCAATGCATTGGGTCTAGTTTTGCCTATGTGGCAAGTAAATAAACCCAAGTCTTAGATGACATGGATAAAACTATGTAAAATTAATAAAATTCACTCCAATGCAAAGAGACTAGGTCATTACTTGGGTCTAAAATAGACTTAAGGGGAGGCCGGATCTCTTTTTCTGGCTGCCACATCAGCAGGACCCAACCTACTTTTATTTGCATTGGAGAATATATTTTTGTAGACTAGGTCTATTTCTTATGTAGCATGTAATTTTTTGAGATTGAACTCAAAACATTGTGGATGCTCTAAATATATCACATGAGTCATTTGATTATTAATTCAGTTATTTATTATTAAATTTGTTATTATAATACAAGTTGACCATGTAATCTTACTCTAAAAGTACCTGTAATTTGTTAAATTATTAAAAACATCAATAAGCTTCAATATCATAATATGTAACATATGCTTAACGCTCCTTATTTAGGTTATTATGTGATGTGGTAATTCCTCCATGGAGAATTTCAAGTAGTCCATCCACATCAATTTATCAAAGTTTAGATGTGAAATATACTGCAGTAATTTAATTGCGTAAATTATCCTATTTAATTTAATATGTTACATCTCATCAAGGACTGCAATATGTCGGGTAGTTTGGGTAGTTCTAAACCCGAACATGGCTAGCAGCCCTAGTCTGCCACCCCGTAACTTTAATAACAGGTTTTTATGAAGTTTGAAAACATGATACTGATAGGTTTTCTATTAGGGAAAATTAGACAAAACGTCCTTTAACTTTTATACTTTTTAGATTTGGTCCTCTTCGTTTTCAAAGTTTGGTCTTAGTCCGTCAACTATAATTATTCCAGCAATTTCGTCTTAAATGAGTCCAACGGGCGGATTTCGACCGTTTAGCGTACGTGGCTGCCGACATGGACCCGTTTCTCCTACACCTGCTATAAATTACAAAAATTGGGAAGGAAAATGTCATCATTTCCCTCCAACCTTCGAGCACTAATAACATCAGCTTTTTTTTTTTCCTGAACCCAAATACAGAAATTCATGGCTTCTTCATCTTCCGCATATTCATCTGCTAGTCTCAATGGTTCAGATAGTGAAGGAGAAGGAACTAGATTCCCTAGTTTCAATCCAATTCACATATTTAACCCTAATTTCGTCCTGGGGATGGTTTTCTCTAATAAATGGAGCTTAGAAAAGCAATTCACTCCCATGCCATCAACACAAAAAGAAACATCAAGATAACTAAGAATGACAAGACGAGGATGCATGCGAAGTGCACAGATGAAGGGTGCAAGTGGAAATTACATGCTTTAAAGCTGAGTGATGAAGAAACCTTTTAGATAAGGGCTTATGTTAGTCAACATACATGTGTTCCTTCATACAAGGTAAAAAATCTAACTTCAAGCTGGTTGTCTGCTAAGTATGCTCAGAGGTTCAACTCAAACTCTACTAGGAAGGCTAAAGGTTTTAGGGCAGATGCAATGGATGATATTTGACTACAAATTACTAATTTTCAAGCATACAGAGCTAAGAAGCTAGCAGTAGAACCCCTTCAAGGAAATGCAGATGAACAATATTCTCTTCTATGGAATTTTGCTGAAGAGGTGAAAAGAACCAATCCTGGGAGCACTATCATTATAGGGTTTGAGATAGAAAATGGAAAGAAGAGATTTGACAGAGCCTATTTGTGTCTTCAAGCATTGAAAGATGGTTTTGTGGGTGGTTGTAGACCTTTTATTGGTGTAGATGGTTGTCATCTAAAAGGACCCCATGGAGGTGTGCTCTTGACAACAGTTGGTGTTGATCCCAACAATAACATATTCTCATTGGCAGTGGCATCGGTTCCCAAAGAGAATAAAGACACATGGGAGTGGTTCTTAATTTTGTTAAAGTTGGATTTGAAGCTCCAAGCTGACTATGAATACACTTTCATGTCAGATAAACAAAAAGGCCTAATCCAAGCCTTTGATGAAGTTTTCCCGAATGCTGAACACAGATTTTGTGTTAGGCACTTGCACTCGAATTTCAGCAGAGCTGGTTGGAGAGGACAAGCATATAAAACAGCCTTGTGGAATGTTGCAAGAGCTACTATTGTGCCTGAGTTTGTAAGAAAAATGGAAGCGTTTAAGGAAATGAATGATAGATCATTTACATGGTTCAGTGATAAGCCTCCTTGTCAATGGAGTAGGTCACATTTTTTAGATATAAGTAAGTGTGATATGCTTTTAAATAATGGTTGTGAGTCTTTCAACTCAAATATTCTTGAGGCAAGGGAAAAACCAATAGTGTCAATGTTTGAATGGTTGGTGGAATATTTGATGTCTAGAATGCAGAAAAACAGAGATAGGGCACTTCAGAAATGGACAGGTGATTTTTGTCCTAAAATTCAAAAAATAATTCAAAAAAATCAAGATGCAGTTGGTGGTTGTTTTCCTATAAAATCAGATGAGTTTCATTATAGCATTTCATGTTCTGATGGAAACAAGTATAGTGTTGATTTGAAGAATTGGAGTTGTGCATGTAGAAAGTGGGATTTAACTGGAATTCCCTGTTGTCATGCCTTGTGTGCTATTTATGCTGAGGGGAAGGTGGCTTCTGAGTTCACTCACAACTATTATAGATTGGAGACATATAGAAAAGTCTATGAGCCAGTAATATTGCCTCTGAATGGTAGATCAGAATGGTTTGAAACAGGTATTGAAACTCTTGCACCACCCAATAATGGGAGAGGTGTGGGAACATCTGGTGGAGCAAGAAGAAGGGAGCCATTTGAAGATCAAGAGAAGAAGAAGAAAAGGGGAAGAGGCAGAGTTCCACTTCCTGAAAAATCGAGTGCCATGAAAAGACAACAGGCAACAGTGAGATGCAGTGTATGTAGTGTTGAAGGTCATAACAAACGTCGTTGTGCGAGGTCTGGTGCTAATTCAAAGGCTAAACTACCTCAGAAATCCCAAAGAGATGAAGTACCAGAGATGGATGAGGAAATGACTGGCTTTGATGATATATTCAGCCAACTAACTAAGGTAATAAAAATCCATATCTCTATCATCTCTTACCTCTCGCGATTTTCTTTCTTCCTCCCAGGTGTCATTTGTCGGAAGAAAAACGGAAGCAATGAAGTATTTTTATCATCTCTCTTCTCCGATGACCCACGAGTAGCAGCGGATTGCCGGAAAGAAGGAAACGGACGGCAGAAAATTTTTCTTCTCCATTACAGTAACCTACGAGCTTCATTTAATGTCACGAGTACGCGGCTGCCCTGTCGACCCTCGTTAGGCGGGTAGAGCATTAGCGAGAGTGCTTTCGAGAAAGCACGAGAAGCCGTTAGTGGCATTTATTTAATATTTCGGGGCCCCAAGCATTGAAATTAAGTAGCCCAAGTTCGTACGTGTAAATTAGAAGGAAAAGCGAAATTGCCGTTTACGTGGGCCCCGCAGGGCCGCGTTGCATTTTGGTTTACCGAGAAACAAGTAGGGACATGTAGACCGATCCCGCACGATTCCATTCGAGCCATTTATCGAGTATTACGGAGCTCCGAGCATTTAATTAGAGAAGCTCAAGTTTTGTTTTTCTTTTGAGTTAGTTTTCAGTTAACAATGATACTACAAAAGTGTAAAGTATTTGCTTCATATTTCAAAAACATGTTATTGAACCTGCTCGGCCAGTTATAAGCAATCAAAGGGTCTTATTTCCATTGTTTCCATCTTCTAGTGCATCAAGGCCTGCAATGTCAATGCTTGACCAGTTCAAGCAAAGTCAGGCTACTGCAACAAATGTAAATCTCAGTTATCCAGCTTCTTTGGTAGGGGGACATTTCATTCCAAGTGTTGAGAGGTGCATCTCTAAGCAAAGCATGTCTGCTAGGCCAATTTTTCATGATGAAATGAACAAATATGTCAACTTTAATGACCTCAGTGTTGCTGTGGAAGAATCAAAGAAGAAGTTGGGAAACAAGAAGCTTTGATCTATGTAATCTATTCCAGAAAATGTGTTTATTGTCTAGTGTTTTGTCATTTTGTCATTTTCTGGTGTTAAACATTTATATTTTTTCTAGGTACTCTTGAAAAGTTGACTATATAATTATGGTATGGTTTTATTTTGTCTATGGCTTATGTTATATTGTGTTGTAGATTCAACTGTGTTTCAATTGTGTTTCAACTGGCTTATGTTAGATTTTGCAATTGTTAGTAAGCTCTTGGCTTATTTTGTTATTGAGTTGAATGTTGTGAGATTTCAACTGGTTATGACCCATAGAAACTGCAAGGATTTAGCAGATAAAGTTCTGAGAACAAAAAAAGATTTGGGAATACATATCATATGAGAAATCAAAATATATTGCATTGCAAATAATAAAAATTAGTGAATACTTCTCAATACAACAACAAAACCAAATAAAAATTTCATATTACTCTGTCAACAATAATTCCAAATACAACTTCTCAGATACAGATACAACACTTGAGAGTCTTTCAACCTAGATACAATAGTACTTCTATCAACACTGCTTAAGTAAAAACCATGATAATTAAGAAAAAAGACCAAGATATAAATAATGCCAATTTCAACATCTTCTTCTCCTCAGTCACTATTTAGCAACTTCACTTTCTAGCGTTCCTTTTTGTTCCTCCAACTTAGCATTTGTTTCCTTCAACTCAAGTTTCCTTCTTCCGAATTTTCAACTTCTTCTTCAAGCTTTTGAACTTTGTTTCTGAAATAAGGAATCAAAACCATGCCTCTCTCACAAATTGGACCATCTAGCCAATTAAAGAAATTGCATACCTTTTCTTATCAAATATTGAAAAAATGCATTCATTATATTATGAGAAAAATACTGAGGTTTAAGTTTTCAATTGTAGCATACCTTCCAGTTTTGGCACCCGTAAAATCTCCGTCCTGGGTTATCGTGCGTCCAAGAAGTTTGAACTTGAGCCAGCTTCCTACAACGACAAAATATGTTGTTCGTCCATTGACGAGAAGAAGAAGATGAAGAATGTGACATGATTTTTACATGATGAAGAAGATACAGAAGGTGAGAGTTTTGGGGAAAAATTGGGGTAAGTTTATGCCACAATTTCGTCTGATTTATAGATGAATGGGAAAAAAAATGAAGAGTTAGGGCAGCCATGTAAATCGGGTCCATGTCGGCACCCTCGGCAGCCACTTAAGTTGTAACGGTCAAAATCGGCCCGTTGGGCTAATTTAGGACGAAATTGTTGGAATAATTATAATTGACGGACTAAGACCAAACTTTGAAAACAAACAGGACCAAATCTAAAAAGTATGAAAGTTATAGGACATTTTTGTCTAATTTTCCCTTTTCTATTATATAAGTCAGGTTTGGGGTTTCAAATTTTAACGTAGCTCTTTGATTTCAAACCTCTGTCTAAAATTGTATAAGCATTACATTTACAAATGCATAGTTGTAAGTGATGTTCAAATTCTCATAAAAATATGCAGGTGTGATGCACGGAGCATGGAGTGAAAAAGTGGCTGGCCCTGCAGCAATCCAAATGTGGATAGTGGTTGTCTTCCACTCCTCATTTTTCTAATTTTTTTTTTTTAAATTTTCATCCAATCTGGACTNTTTTTTTGTATTTGACTTATATTATGTATTGTGGAAGTTGAAAAGAAAGAGCTGAAAAAGTTTAGAAGTACGTGCCTTACATCTATCTTATTATGATATGATAATTTTGAAATTATTCTATAATAATAATGAAAGCGTACTATATAATTGAACTTTTAGTTGGTAAAAAACTCAAGCAAAAGAATATCTCTTGTTTTAGCTTGCATTGCAATGGACAGAAACCTAAATATTCCCATTTTTAGTATGCTTAATTCTTCTGAAGACAATAGCCTGTCTTCTGTAAATATTTTCTATAGTTGAAACATACCTCCCGCGCTCGAAAAATTTCCCAAAATACAATACCCCAATTGCAAAAATTTTCTTATCAACCGATGTCTTCTTTCCCAGCCAAGCTCCCAAACAACAATCTTAGTATATGTGGTTAATGTCATCTAAATATAATATGTCAAACTCATTTGTCATGCCTTTCCAACAAAGTAGTTTCATGCCAACAGCGATGAGTACAAGCTTACAAGATGCCGTAAGAGCTAGTACTGGACCAGAGGTTGAAGTCATTGACCACATTTGTCTTAAAAAAGATAAAAAGTAAGGAAGCTGAGCCAAATATAGGTGGGAAACTGTCTGCAAAATCGTGGACACAAAACGAGGATATGTTGCTTTGTCGAGCTTTCTGCACTATCTTGAGTGATCTGATTGTTGGGTCTCAACAGAGTTGAGATGGCTTCTAGAGGTGAATCACCCAATACTACAATGAAAATGCTCAAGCTCGAAACTTTATTGAAAGATATATGGAGTCAGCAAAATCTCTTTTTTATGCTTTTCATGGAGATTGTCTAAAATTCAGTGCATCAATAAATAGGTACTGAGCTAACTGAAGGAGTGGCAAAAATGATGCTATTGTGTTGCAAAATGCATTAATGAAGTTGAATAGTGATGGTAAGAGAAAATGAGCCTTCAAATGGATCCATTGTTGGGAAATTCTAAAAAGTAGTCTTAAATTTCAAGGGTCATCAACGACAAGTCTAGGAGGAAAAAAGTTTAGAATATCATAATCGAGAGATCACACTTCTAGATCTGGCTAATATTTTGAGCATGGTTGTGATGATGATGAGAGATATGTGCATCGCCCAGTTGGTCAGAAAGCAGCAAAGGCACGAAAAAGGAAGATAAAATGTAGCATGGGAAGTAACACTGATCAGAAAGCTGAACTTATATCAAAGGTCTTTAGACATATTAAGGATATACAAAAAAAACAACAGAATGAACTTAAAAGTTGCTTCGTATGGAGTCTTGGAAGACCTATCAAGAAATTATAAAGGAGTACACTTCAACACTGACTGGAAAAGAATTAGAAGCTCACTACGCGCTTCTTACTGAACTGAAACAGGAATTGGGCCTGAATTAAAGTTTTAATGATTTTGTAATAATGATTATATACTATATTTCATTTTATGTAATTTGTGTTGTCTTTAATTTTAATATGTACTTGTTTTTTTATTATTATGTACTAGTATTGTATTTAATTTAATTGTGTACTTGATTCTCCTTTGTGTTTAATTAAAATTTTTCCATATATTATTTTATATTGTACCATATTCTACAATCACTAAATACATGCCCACCAAATATTAGTTATTCATGTGCAAATAAAATGACAACAAACCAAGAAGTAAAAGAAAGGTAGGTAAGTGATGGACACTCACGTGATTCCCACCTTACCTAGGGGATGTTGTCTTCTCTCATTATATATAGATGTCTAAAGTGGATTCTCATACACAACTATCTTCACCAAATTATTTTTCTTTCTACATCTTATTTGGCTTCTTTTTGTAGTATTTTATAACTTTTCTTCTTTTAAGATATCTAGGAATACCAATGACAAAGTAGCATATCGTGTTTTCTTGAAAAATATGCTTGATGATTCTCTGGTGCATGCTGAATTCTCTAATGGAGGCTGTGATTAATCAGTTCGAAGAAGCCGAACAAGGTGATAATTCAAGTAGGTGAGAAATGTGAGTAGTCCATCGAGGTCGTGATGTCTGACACGTTCTACCAATAAAAGATTATATTTCTACCGAACCCAACTAACACGAGGGTTTTTTCCGCCGTAGATTTTGTACGTCCAGACGTTTATTTTCTCGCATTTTTTATTCAGTTGAAAATTATTATGATTATTTCAAGATAAAAATAGATGCATTTGGTAGACAGGGCTTTTAACCCATTCAGAAGTGTACTGGGGGTACACGCCAACTAGTATATATAATTTGTAAATATAAAAGGTGGATCAATGAGTTCTCTCTTTAAATGATTACATAAGAATCAATTTTACTTTATGATTTTGTGTAGATCAACGACTCATAATAGTCAATTAGAAATATACATTAATTATGTAATAGAAAAGAAGAATAAGTATAATTAAATTATTTATATATTAAATAAATTCAATAAATCTCGCTGACCGACGGCTGGCGGTAGGCTTGTAAACAAATCAATTTTTTTATTCGAATTCGATATTCGTGATTCGAATTCGTAATATTCGAATTCGAATACGAATAATGTTTTATTTTCGAAAGTTAAACGAATCCGAATTCGAATTTGTAGATATTTGATTCGAAATTCGATTATTCGATTTGTTAAGAATAATTATATATATTTTATAAATTATATATAGTATACATTTTATTTATAATATATATGTGTATATATATATTGTTATATTCCTAATATTTTTATGACATAAAAAGTAAAAATATAATATTTTTACTAAAAATATTTTCCCTAAAAATATATGGAAAAATAATTTTTTTTTTGTAATTATAATATTTTTTTAATTATAATATTTTTCTGAAAACGAATTTCGAATCGAATCGAATACGAATCAAAAAATAAGTTTGTTAACGAATCGAATACGAATTCGAATCCTCGAATATTTTAACGAATTCGAATCGAATATCTTAGTATTCGCATTGATTCGATTCGTTTACAACCCTAGCTGGCGGCCGGTCAACCTACGACCCTCGCCTTCCTTGTTGCTACCGTCCTCGTCCCTGTCCCCGCCGGAACTGGATGTGGCTGCTCGAAGAAGAGGTGTTGTTGGCCGCAACTGGATGTGGATGCTCGGAGAAGATGTGTTGTTGGCCGGAACTAGACGATTTTTTTAGAATTGGAGCGACGTAAAAAAACTCATAAGAAACGCTGAAAATTGGTCGAAACTGGATGATTTTTGTTGTTTCTTCGCCGAAAATACTCGCCAGAAATACCTGAAAATTGGGTCGAAACTGTATAATTTTTTCTATTCCTTCGCTGAAAAAAAACTCGCCAGAAATCAAGCCGTTTACCTGCGGTCCTGGCCTTCCTTGTCACTGTCCCCGCCGAATGAA